TAATTGATCGTGCAGTTCTTGGGCAAAGAAAATATTATTCGCGTTCCTTAAGAAAGTTGTGTTTGAGAGATGCACACTACAGCATGAACTTTTACTAAGTACACTAATGTAACACTTTTATAACAAAAGTTTACATGATTTTCTACATTTAGCGAATGGTCTCCCAAATTGCAGTTAAATTTTTAGGATGAGCAATTTATGATCTTCTCTGCCAGGATCTCACAGTCTTGTTTTAAACATGAAAAGGAATTTCATGACTCATTAAAGGTCCATAAGCCCCCTAATTTATTCTCTACCTACTTAAAATGTGACAGTGAATTAAGGTCTTATTGAGGAAAAATCATTAGCCTTACTGTTTTGCGATGTGTGAGCTTTATTTTACGAGCATAGCCAAATCTCAAAATTGTGAGCTTTTAAATTTTATTTTTTTCCCTGAAAAAGAAAAAAGAACTAAAACACTCCTAATTTTTACCATTAAAATATAGGGAGGTAATTAAGTACAGACTCACGACCAGTGTTAAGTAAAAGTGCAAAAGTTTTGACTGAAATTTTACCTAATCGTTATACAATACAGTTACTTCATTGTTATTAATTCATTCAATAATTTATATAAAATGATTACCAGGTGATTTACTATCTATTAAGTAACACTGACATAATGCTGAGATGTCATGGACCAAATCTAACAAATGTTTATTTATCAGTCCATCGACCATCAATTGAAGCCTACATCACTTCAGTGCCAAAAAGTTTCGGTTCCTCTTTCCTCACGTAGCTTTTTTAATATTACTGCAGCTTCCGTATAGGCATGAGGCTTGTTAGCTGCAGTACAATGGTTTGACATTTTACATTCAGACTTAAGGGGCCATCAAACCGAATGAAATAAATGCAGAATTGATTCAATTTTAAGGGCATTTTTTAATTTTATTTAATTTACTAGCGGTTTCCTGGGGCAACTTTCATGCAAAAGGAAAATATAATGGGCATGTATGACTCACCAAATTCAACTGATCCTTCATCAAAAATGTAAACTGAATAAAAACACCAATGATGCTATTTACGATACCTTGAACACAGCACTTTCACTTTTATTTATTTTCTCCTTTAGATTAGCGCAATGCACATTAAAGGCAACTACCTAAGTAATCGAACTTCACACCACTTCAAATTTCTTGAAAAATTTCAGAGCAGACAAAAATTTTAGGAATACTATAGGTGATTTGTTAATTTTCTATCAACACACTACAACAACTTTGATGATGTTGTTTTGAGGCATTCAAGGTGAATTTCTCAAAACCAGATGATTTTTAGTTGCTGCTAATTTCCTATCGGATGACTGCTCAGATGAGAAACTGACAGCCATGTCATAGAATAGTAGCCGCTTTCTTAATCCAGGATGTAGGAAATTCGGAGAGAAGGAGCAAGTTGGAGTGCTGGAGGCCCTTCAAAAAACTGAAAAACAGACAAAAAAATAGCAATATTTAAGGCATTTGAATGGTCATTTGGTGTCAGTTCAATGAGGATGTGACTTTTCAACTCTCAGATTTTATTCATACTTGATGTGCAAATTTTATCCGTTGAGAAAAAAATTACATAGATCTCAGGCTGTTTCATTTAAGTAGAATGAAATTTTAAAATATTCATGAAATTGCAATTTTTTCAAAACTCTAAATACTTCTCAATTGTTGATACCGGATACAGGGGTGCAGAAAGTTCTTAGCCTTCGGTGATTTATAATTTGCCTTCCCCAATAGCAACGCGCTTAAAAGTTTCCTTCCCTAAAAGCAGCGCGCTTAGAAGTATCTTTCCCCACAAGCTGGGCGCTTCAAAGACTTCCAGCAAATAAAAAAACTTGCATGATAGTTTCTTTCCCTAAGAGCAGCACGGTTGAAAGGCATCCAGGACAATTAACAATGCGATTCCTTGTTTTTTCCCCCAAAACAAGGAGGAGAAAAATCTTCCTCAATTTTTACAGCCTTCCTCAATTCTCACCCGAGTGGTCATGCAATCATGATTGCGTGATCGAGAACATTCTACACCCCTGACTGGATATTTTAGCATAAAAATTAGATTTTTTTAAGAGCTCTCTTGAATCTGAAATTTTAGTTTTTGCCCTGTCTAATGTAGAAAACAGGTAAGTACAGAGGAACACTTACCGTAACCAGGTCAAATTGGGCTTTGATTAGGTATATTCTTTTTTTTTCCCCCTCCGATACAACACAACGATTGAAATTGTTAAATCATTAACGCATATTTCTTTGAAATTTGACCTTACTTACAAATTCCCAAAATTTAGGTTTGTGCAATGTTACATGATTTTTCTCATTTATTGTGCTCTTGGAAAAAACAAACAAGCTGTTTACTACACTCTAGTTTGTTTTCGCAATTATGTCCCAGCATTGAGCACAAGTAGAGCTCGCGCATCGTATGTTAAGACAAACGTCAATCTCCGATTAGCTCTGAAGTTGCACCACTCAACAGGGTAATACATGGAGTCAGGTGGCACCACTGGTGAATGGTGGCATAAGCAATACTTTGACGTTTGTCTCAACATACGATGCGCGAGCTCTACCTAAGAACGGAACCTGAGAGGCTATAAACTGGCTCGCTCTGAACACTTGGATAATTTCATATCTTGGTCCCTATATGCAGTTCAATGAAATGCTCTTCCAAGGTGATAATTGAGATCATCATTAAGTTTTATGGCAATCCAAGATGCTTAGGTGCTAGTTAATAATCAAGGAACGAAGAGCCAGAGGCATGGCTCACAAGCATATTTCTTTAATCTCCACTGGAAATTCTAAAATGTAGAACCTCAGTTGAAGGAAATGTACAATGAGTCAGTTGCTGATATCACAGTAACAGATTGTAGGTCCTATGCGCTGATAAAGCTACGTTACCGAGTGAGGTATTGTTTTATGTTCACTGAGAGGATTAGAGGAGGTTATTTTTTTGATCAACCTGATGAAAAGGTATCAGGGCAGTGTAGGTACGAAAATAATGGAGAAGAGAACATATCATTGCTCTTACGACAACTAGGCGTAACTTTATATGTACTGAGCTGCAATGTCCACATAACTTAGCGCGTACAGCGCTCACGTGAAAATACCAAGAACTGACTGGCCATGTCTTGCATGAATACGACCAAATAATAAAGAAGCCATGATATGTTTTAATAGCAAGTACTTAATACGTTCAAATTCAACACTGGATTTCAAAGCCACCAAGTTTTGGCATTGCCTGTATTCTTTCAGAGGTGCTACCGCTATATCGGAGCTCGGAACGCTTGTTCGTCCACAATGGCAGAGTTTTTATACCAGCACAGTGACTGACTTTAGTTACACACTAAGGCAGGTGGTCAGAGAAAATCACATCATTCTCGATATTTAGAGAAGTGGCATGAGCTCAGCCAAACTTGCGGAGTGGGACATCGGTCAAATCTGGACGAAGTCTGAACTTGCCCACTGTTGTCTCATGAGAGAACTGGAAACTAACAAATTGTGGGACGAATGTATTTCATGGTTTCCAGTGAGCCCTAAATGATACCTGCCCTCTCCATGTTATCAAGAACAATTTCTCTTCTCATAATAATGACAGATCATCCTAGAGTAGAGTAGCTGGAGGGAGGAATAAGTACCTCAGTTGATTTGGATCATTAATTTTGGGAAAGGCCTGTCGATCTACATTTCCTGAAGGATATGTACTAACAAAAATTGATTACTTACCTTTATTTTCAAGGCTGCATTTGATGAGAGGCTCGATAATATAATCCAAATGGGAAGCAACAGCTAACGCAAATCTAACCTTGAAAGTTAACTTGAACTGAACGTTTCACCGAAGGTATTCACGTTCATCAGGCATCGCCGCACTTTTTTGTCAGAGAACTATGAATAATAATTTGTAAAAGGAACCTAATCAGAATTCTTCACCACCTTCACGGCGGAAATATGAGATATGAGAAAGCAACAGTTTGGTGAAAATCTGAGAAAGTGAAAATTCGCCGTTACCTCCTTTTGTCTAGAATGTTCTAAAATGGAGGGAAAGGCCCCTCAGTTTCGTGACGTAGTAGTCGCCGTGTTAACCAATCAGAGCCGCCGTCGATCGGCCGAAGTTGCATGAGCGGTGCGTTTGAATCTTGCTTTCATTACCTCAATTATCAGACGATGTATATTTGTCTCTGTATTTTATACTAGGTAGTTTTTTTACGTAAAATTGTATCTCCTTTCGAAAAGGTTATTATGAATTTTTGCATCACATCAACCCCTGAAAAGATATTAGCACAATAGGAACATGTGTCATGTGTTCTCCCATAAGAAAAATAGGTAATACAAAAAATAATAATAATAATAATAAAAAAAGTATAAACGTATAAAAGTTTAGTTAAACATCTTCGAGACCTTGGAATAGAGAGTAACCTGCTTCATTCAATGCAGAAGTCCGTCGTAATAAGAACGCCAAGTATTGTCAGGTCGTTACTTAATATGGATTAATTTTTTTAATTTTTAAAATTTAATTTTGTTTATTAATCTCTTTAATTTTACTTTAAAATAAAATTCACTTTTTATTCCAGCAAGATAGTGTGTATTACTGACTTTGGGCTGTGGCCCGTCAGTGATACTTTTACCGGAATCGTTCCTTCTTCCGAGTTAAATAAAAAGAAAAATAAAAAAAATAAAAATAATAAAAATAATAAAAAACAGAAAAGCTGGTAACAGATCTTCCTAGCATTAAAAAGTCGCATTTCTCCACTGAAGGCCAGAGCCGGATTTACCTTTTTGCCGCTCATGGGCTGCCTGTGTCATACATTCTGCCGTCCGCTACCTATTTTTATTTTCAGGAAATGAGAGATTTTGCCGCCTTTTCTTGTCTGTAATTTTTTGTTATTTTCTGAATCCAAAATTTTTTTTCAAAAAAAGAACATCAGAATTTGCCGCCATGCATCCCCCCCCGCCGAACAACATACCTTGCAGAATGTCCCGACAGCAACTGAGAGGATGCCAATTTAACATATTCTCAAAGAATGCAACCTTTCCAGCCAGGTAAGTTGTGAATGCATACCGCAAGATGTAAAAGGAGCAAACACTGATTATGTTACCGAAGCAAGTGGTTAAGATGTAACTTGAGCATTCAGGATGTTACAATAACATTTTATGCAGAATGTTAAATTGGCATACTAATCACTTGCGAAATTTACATTCAGAGGTTGCTATCTTAACAGGCACCTGTGTAATCTTAGCAAAAAATTCAAATGTCATCCCAACATAGCGTGATTTGTCATAGGAGCTTCCTCATTTTTTTCGGTGTTATTATTATGTTCTCGTATCTCAATTCACAGCTCGAGGCCGGCAGATATTTAGTCCTCCCTCGGCAATTCAATGCAAAGGCAAGAGTCCTTGAATTTAAAATTGAAGTAAAAATTTAAAATTGGGATTAAAACTTTAAAATTGGGATTAAAACTTTAAAACTGAAGTACAAAATGTAAAATTGGGACTAAAACTTTAAAATTCGAGTAAAAAACTTAAAATTGGGGTTAAAACTTTAAAATTGGAGTTAAAACTTTAAAATTGGAGTAGAAATTTAAAATTGAAGTTTAAAATGCAGGTTAATTTTTCGGTTGGTGGTAACTATCCATCACCCAGAACTCGCCTCACAATCCTGCAGCTCCCTAGCAAAGCTGCTTTGTGCAATTGTTGATACAGCTTCTCTCTAAGGTTGATCTTCCTAAGACTATCAAACAACTTTACAGGAATCTCCCCCGTTGCTCCAATAATAATTGGCACAATTATTACTTTGTCCAATTTCCAGAGGCACTTGATTTCGTCTGCCAAAGGCATGTACTTGCTTATCTTCTCAGCATAAGCGCTCTGGAAATTCACTGCCGACGGCACAGCTACATCGATTATAAAAGCAATTTTGGCATCCTTCATTGTGAGCACTATGTCTGGGATGTTATTAGGAATGGTTCTATGGGTGCGAATCTTCCTATGCCAATAGAGGCGGCATATATCATTTTCTTTCACCTAGGGAGGTTCGAACTCATAGTAAGGTTTCATGTCCGTTTGTTGAGGTGTTCTTTAGCCAGCTCTTGATAATTTATCTTTGCCACAGAATTATGCCGCTCAAGGTATTGCTTTGGTGCCAAGTTGGAACATCCAGCTAATAAATGGTCGAGGGTTTCCTCTTTCGCTCCGCAAATACGACACATGACGTTGTCGACCCTTACTTTCAGTATCCGCTTTTGATATGATTTTGTCGGAACTACTTGATCGTGAATGGCAGCTATGAACCCTTCTGTTTCAACGAATAAACCTCCCGAGTGCAACCATGATTGCGAAGCTTTAGCATCTATGTCTGCGTCTTCATGGAGTCTTTTAATGTACCGTCCATGAAGAGGCTTAGCCTTCCACTGCCCGATTGTTTGTTCTGTGGTTGGGAGCGTTTCTACTGGATTGAAGGTATGATCATTCAAATTCAGAGGCGTAATATTTTTATCCGCACGCGCGATGGCCTGATGCAACTTGCTTTCTTTGGCTTTGTCAAGAAAGTACTTCCTTAGATTTTGAACTTGCTGATGATGTCTGCGCATCGCACTTGGGATCCCCCTGCCCCCTTCCGCTTGCGGCAAGTGGAACCTTTCAACACAACTCCTAGGGTGATGGGCACGATACTTCCGGAATTCCCTCCTCGTTGCAATGTCCAGGGCGTTGAGCTCAGTTTTGGACCAATTGAGAATGCCAAATGTGTAGGTCAACAGTGAGGTAGCATACGTATTGATCGCGAGCGCCTTCTTTTTATTATTCTCCTTATTATTATTATTATGTTTATGTTCACTACTGTCACCAGCTTTGCTGGGTTGCTTTAAGCCCTCACACAGGGGCAAACAATGCTCCTAGGTATGAGGGCTGTTTGTGGTTAGGGTGGCCGGGTTGTGATTATTTTGCTCCCCCTTATTGGGGGATGGCTCGTCCCGGACAAGGATACCTGTTTTAGGAACCGAGGCAGGGTAGGTGTCTGGAGGACGCCTGCCTAAAGGTTTCTTTCCTGAGGTGGTAGGGGGTAGGGGTGTTTTTGGTGTGTGGGAAAAAATGAGTATGGATTCTTTGGTTAAGGTTTTCAACTTAAGACTTTCCTCAGTATCCTAGCAGTTCCGAGGATTGCTGCTTTCTGAGCTGTGACAAGAGAGTGCTTCCCAGGGATTTCTTCCTTAAATTTCTTCCATTCTTTCGAGACTGCTCCCGTCGCGCCGATTACGAAGGGTATGACTTTCGTGTCCGTTTTCCACATTCTACTTATCTCGATTTCTAAGACTTTATACNCGCTAGGATCATCAACATCTGAGCGATCATCCTCGATCTTATCGCGATAAAATCGCAATTTTTTCGGGCCGATAAAATCGCAATAAAATCGCGAAAAGATCGAGGATAATCGCTCAAATGTTGATGATCCTAGCGATTTTATCGCCGATAAAATCGAGGATAATCGCGACTTTATCGGCGATAAAATCGCGATTTTTCCGTTGAAAAATGCTACTTGGGTATAGTAATATTAAATAATTTTAAAGAAAATTAAATTTTAAGTAAAATCAAAAAATTAATCGATATTAATAGGTCGCCTCAAGGGTTGAGGAACATGGCGCGCATAATAGTCCCCACGCTGGGAACGAAGATGGTCGTGGATCGTCCCAGTGTATGGCACGACGGCCAACCAACAACACCATCCCTGCTCCAAGTGTCTCGTCGACTAGTCAGCCGACGACAACTAAAGCAGGGAAACTCAGGCAACGCATGACTTGGAGTCTAAGTATGAATCAACACTTCATGCGTTGTTATTACCTCGCGTCTAAATGGAAACGATTATCCTGGATACCGGGCAGAAGTGCGGAAACTTTTTCTTGATAAGTTCTCTGACTGCGAAATGCCTTGAGGCATATTTTAGGCAATTTTAAAGATATATCTCATAGAGGTTTCATAAATATCTATTTTAAGTTGGTTAATATGTGTCCAGAATTATTTACAGTAGGTGACTCAGTTAACCCCAGGGGTAACTCATTGAACCCCATAGTCGGGGTTAAGTTGGTCAAAAAGGTTACCCCGCTCAAATGTAGATTTTTACTTTACTTTATGCACAAAAAATTTGCTGCGGCATAAATTTAATAGCTAAGAGTATATTCGATCGTATAAAATCATGAAATCAGACAAAAAAATTTTATAAATAACATTTAGAAGCGTTTTCTAAAAACTGACTCAAACAACCTCACTTTCCTTTTTACATTATCCACTGGTAACTGCTCAGCGCAGTGGCCGTATGGTTCTGTTGTAAGCTTTAAGCTGTGAGTTAATCAGAATAAACTCATTTCTCCTTCTCTATGCTTTTCTCAAAATCGCCTGAGAATATTGCAAGGCCACCAATGAGGTTAGAAATGCCTTCATATGCATCTAGTCTCAAATAAGCAGGTGAAAGACCACTTAAATTCAATCCATCAATAGTTATGGACTTCAGTTCACGTCATACGAGGCACTTTGTTTAACATTCCTTGAAAACAAGTAACAGAGCTTCCACTGGTCATTTTCTTGGTCCGACAACCAGTCAATTACTTAGAGGTGTAGTCGGATAAGTTGGCCATTGTTTACTTTCTTCCGGTTTGCAAGCGTATCCACATGAAAACATTTGACTCCCGCAAAAGCTAGAACGCAAGCTAAGTTAGGTATTTTAATACTTCCAAGCCTTGTAAAAATTAAATTTTTAGCCATACAAAAATCACAACCACATAAAAGTTGCGGATCATAACTGATAAGTAGCTTTTTACGATACAATCATGAGCCCAATGTTTTTTAGGTGAATAGTAGTGAACGCCGCTTTGCGCAGAGGCGTAAATTCTTCGACGGCGCTTGCAAACTGAAAGTTTACATAATGACCAACTTATCAATCAACTTCTTACTCAATGAATGAATAGAAAAAATAACCAATCCGTAGTTTAAAGCCGTGTTATTTTTGTCATACCGTGAAATCAGCATGAAAACTTGGTGATTGATTGTTTTTTATTGTTCAAAATTCATGTTGAATTCACCACGTAATTTAAAGAAACTGTGGGTTGAAGGATCGTTGGCTCCGCTCGTGTGGTTGTTGAATCGACAAGACCAAGCTTTAACCAAACATTTCCTTGGACATGGGATGGGGTCGAGGGGCACTCCCCGGCTAGGCATGTCAGCTCGCAAAGCGAGCTAATCACGGCTAGTTAGTTAAGATAACGAGAGCGATCATCGCACCATCGGAATGAAATCAATCGACGTTACCGAAAAGGATGTGCCGATGATCCTGCAAAAAATTCGTTGGCCGCCGCTGAGTAAAACCGAATAGAGACGTTTGGCCAGACGAATATTGCAAGTCAGTGATCACGTCCGGATCTCGAGACTCAAAGCCATGTTCGAGATAGGATACACACCGAACTGGAGTACGAAAATTTTCAAGATATTGTTGGCGTGAATCCGACCGTTGCGATCACGTGCGATCTGAGAGACGCGCGTATAATACGATCAACAAAGGAAAATTCTATTGCAAAGAACTCCAACCCACCAATTATAAGGATACGTTCCTTGTGGAGAAAATTCTGCGCCGCCAGAAAAACCAAGCCTTTGTCAAATGGTTGGGTCTGGACGCGAGTTACAACAGTTGGATCGATAGTAAGCGTTTCGTATAACTTGCAGGTATTCATTCTCCTCTCGGTATCGCATGAAAGAAATCATGAACGATAAAATAATTCTTATCGCCTCCAGCTTCATTGATAGAGTGAATTCCACAGTGGGAGAAAACTCATCCGAAGCAAACATTACAATGTGCCCGATAGCGTGACGTTTTTAAACGGTTTATTGAATTTCCCCAAAAAAAATAAAAAATAAAAAAAGATAAAAAAAATAAGATATTGATTCATCAGACTGAACATTGCAATAACCGAACCCAGTTACTTATTCCAAAACATAAGGTTCCGATACACATCTCCAGGCGCTCTGATACACACCACCCAACCACTAAAAATAAAATCCCCGATTTAGACCCTACTGTTCAGCCTCCGATATCAGACCCATCCCGGAGGTATTGGTTGCCGAAATTTTACAGGTCCGATATTCCGAATTTTTTGTACAATCTGAAAACAATGTAAGGAAACATTATTTAATTTCTTGCACCATCTGGCATCACTGTAAAATTCGATGTTGCCAAGTTTAACCGATAGTAAAATCATTTATTTACGTGCACCGTCCGGCAACGCTGTTGAATAACCTCCAAGTTAATGGGGCGACACACACCATTCCATAAACTGCAGATTGAAGGGGCTCCATACACTAACGCATAACCCGAAAAACGAAGGGGTAACATACAATTTTTTACAGCGTTGCCATATTGTACAATACCCACCCCGCAGCACTGTAATTTATTCGTGTTTTTCTGCACTTTCTGGCTTTACCTACAATTTTTGCTGAAGTCGCCATTTTTCTACTACTTTCGCGGTGAGTTCATAAGCGTTCGCGATATTGTTTGTTTATTAGGCTGGGTCTTTCTCTGAGCTGACCAGACTTCCGACCTCAAAGAAAAGCCGCCCGCATACGCAGTATTTTTGAAAAAGCGTGTTACAAACTAGCAGATTGCGCCTTAAGCAGTGGATTTTAGTTTTAAGATTTTTGGTGTGCCCAACGTAATTTTTGAGCAATTATAAATACGCATAGAGAGTGTATTCACTTACGGCTCTATCTCTTGTATGCAACAAACCCAATTTAGTATTGTTTTGAATGTTTATCTGTATCCAAACTTACCATGAAAATTGACTGATGCGAAAATGAGTAATGCATTAGGTACTTCTTGACCCAAAAGCGGAATATTGAAGTTTCTCGATTTTATGTAGTTACTTTTATGCAATTTTAAGGTGCTTGCTCAGAGAGAGAGAACCAAAACTTGTAAAGGTTCAATTGGCTGAGAAGAATCAAGTTATATTTTTGGCAAATCAGCTCCGTTAGGTTTTAAGGATGGATTCTGATGAGACAGCGCCTCGAGATACACACAAGATATTAAAGCGTGATAATGTTTCTTCAGTGCAGAGTGCAGATTTGAATTTGATGTTAGATAAATTTTGGTTCTTCCGTAAACAAGATGTTCAAATCGGAAGATAAAAAAAACTTTCAATGTACACATACGCACACACACACTCACACACACCCTCCCTCCCTCACCCTCACACACACACCCTCACACACACACACACACATACACAAATAAAAAAATAAGGGGAAATACCCTTAGGCGTGGATTAAAGCAAGAATTGTTTGCTACTTAAAATTTTGAAGAGAAAACATATTACACAGTGTTTTAATATTTAACATTGTCTGGTGGTCTATTAAAACATGCTGAAAGAGAAAGACCTGGGTGCTGAATGACACAAGTTTTAAATTACAATATGGCTTTTAATAAAAGATTGCACTTCTTATGTACAGTGACTTTAGTATCAAAAGGAAAGGAAAAATGATTAAATATAGAAAAAAAGGCAAAACACAGACATTTTGTTTGAAAGATAATTACTTTTAGAGAGCCAGCAACAACAAGGACTGATTTGATAGCTCGTAAGCCCCAATCGTAGTGATCCTGATTTGAAAGCAATTCTTTGCATAAACTGTAGAGAGTAATGAACTTACGCGCTAAGATTCGCGCCTCTTGGAAACCTTCAGCCACTAACATGATCTCACAGATCAATTCGAAATCAGGTACAACCATAGCACAAGGTCTGGAACAAGCATCATGAAAAATAAATAATAGTAAGCTATGTTAGGTATGTGCTGAACGTGTGGCTACATATACTACTTATGCTAAAGAGATATCGCAATCACTGCTAAGTACCTAAAAATTACATCGGTCCGTAACAGTGCTTTCTAGCAGGATTTAACGTCAAAAAACGACATTTTCAAAAATGTCACAAAACCGCTGTGATTTATTGTAAAGTAAACCCAAAGACATAAAGACGGAGCTTTAGAGGAAAAAAATGATGCAAATTCATGCAAACTCTCCGAGTGGCTAGAGGATTGGCGGCGAAATCGGGACAAGATTAAAATTCAAACAATTTAGTGACTATACAATCGCAGCGCGATAGCAATTGGTACTCGTCATGGGAACTTGAGAAATGTTTGATAAATCACTTAGCAGTGGGTATACCATTTTTATGATGGGTATCTACTGGGATCTACTTTTGATTTAGCAGAAGTCAAAACATTTACCTAAAGCTGATAAAATTGTAGAAGTTGTTCTTTTTCTGCGGCATGACGGCGATTTTTGTTTATTTTCTTCTGTTATCTATTTTTTCCAATTTTTCCAAGCTTCCTTGATTTGCTGTTCCTATCACAGATTCAGAGCTGATGTTTGAGGCAGCATCATAAATGGAGCGGCATCGGCACGCAAGGCGGAGGTCCGGCGCGGATTTTCATGACGTGTCGAACAGTGCGCCGGGGGATCGCATTTGCCCTTGAGGCTGCTTAACCCGGTGAAGCCGACACCCGGCATGACTTTTTGATGCCGCATCAATTAGCAGACACGTCGGACGCCAGCGCCCCGGACCCGGCTGCCGGGCGGCTAATCGCACCGGGCTGTGTTTTCAACCCTTCCTTGGCGTCCACTTCTTAGAACTTCCCGGCGAGGCGTGGGCCGCCGCGCCGATGGGAAACGTAGACAAAGGGGTGTTCCGCGAATTCATCGCCAAGTCCAAGGGTCACATAACCCGGCAGTCCTCTGGGTCAGCCCTGTTGGTAATTAAGCTGGGTCGAAAATTGATGCCGTATCAGGCCGCAAGCCGAGGGTCCGGCCTACAAGTTGAAACCCATGTTGGTCCCTATGCCAGCATCAAACCTCAGCATCAGCGCTTAATGCCGGCTCGGTCGGCACGCCAGCATTGGGCTTCAATGCCTGAAGTCGGCACCGGCAGGTTCCGCGCATGCGGCGCCGCATGCCCGCACGGCCGCTAACTGGGCATACGGCATTAATGCTGAAGCTACGATTCGATGCTGTACGGCATAACCTCATGAGACGCCGCAAATGCCTGGCTCCTATCTGATGATACCACTCTATTGTCAAAGCAGAAACGCAAGCAACCTCTGAGAGGAAGATTAACGGCTGGGCCAGCAGCATGCGACAAACCCTAGAATTAATTGCCGGTCCTATTTCTCATATCATACTTTTCTATCTAGTCCTAAAGTCTGAAAGGGAAAAAGTTGCTGTCTTTTACTCTTTGCGTCGCCTGGGTTGCTTTTTGTTATTTTTATCTTCTGCTGTGAAATGATCTGGGCAAATCCTCCGAAAATTTTGAGACAAACTGTTGTTCAGCTTCAAAATAAAATAAACAAGTTGGTATCTGCCATCGCCGCGCGATAGAAATTCTCGTTTAGGGAACTTTGCCCTTCATCCATTTGATTCTCGTTAAGGTGTCTCCAGCATTTTTAATAATTTGTCTTAGTTTTTAATTACTAGTTGAGCTGTTCCGACTTTGCAAGTACACTGTCATCCAAAGTTTGTTGAATTGTTTTCCGTCTGATGCTATTTTTAGGAAGCCATTTTTTTTCTATTTTGAAAGACATCTGGACCTTATCATAGAGTATTTGAATTTTCTTAACTTTCTTCCTATCCTTTTTCATTTTTCGTATGTGAATTTTTCGGATGCTTCTTTGTGTCAATTAGTATTTAGCTGTAATAAGGGCTAATTATATGTATAAACTTTTTAATCTGAACTACTTTTCCTGGAGTCTATGTGGCGATGCCCTGTGTCATTTGCTACCCAGATAACAATTTCAACGTTGACAACAACGTAGAATTCCACGTTTCTCGTGAAACCTTCCACGTGGAAAGCAACGAGTACCGGAACGTGTAATTCTACGTGGATGTCCATGTATTAAGTACCGTTTCCGGAACGTTCCCGTGTAAACGTTGTCAGCGACAACGTTTACAGGAACGTTTGAACGTTGCAGTGTCTACATTGCAGGGACGTGGCAGTGACTACATTGCACGGACGTGCAGTAACATTAGAATCCATTTTATTCGCAAAACATAGTGTGGCATTCATTTTTGGGCTTTTCACAGTTTGTGCGTCTCTTTCCCTCCTAACGTGTTTACGATTAGAAAATTTCGTTAATTATCTACTCATTTGCGATAAATGACGATTAATTAAAATACTATCATTCACTTCATAGGCACGATTTTCATTTAGGTGTACGTACTAGAGGAGGAATAATTACTTTCAGTTTTAGAGTAGAACATGAGGTCTACGGGTTAAAATTGTGGACATTGACTTGAGATACAGAATTAGAAACAGACAAGTAAGTGCAAACCAGATAATTAACGAACTTTTATGTATGTAAAACACGGAGGTATGAGCATCACTTCAAGCACATCATTAAACTGCGAAAATCACTTGGTACGCCAATATCAAGATAACAAATGGACGGAGTTAAACAGAAAGGAACCAAGCCACACTGGGATCGAACCGAGAAAAAGAGGTTTAAAGTTTGGCTCCTGCATAAGACTCAATGTAAAAGATAAACTTCAAGTTCAATTTCTGCAAAATTTGCTCCAACAAAAATTTTGAATTTTTGGCGATAGATAGTAGAGCAGTGGTTGAGTTCAATACCACTCATAACTCAATTTTTTCCAAAATGTGGGTTGGTTCCTTTCTGTTTAACTCAGTCCAAATGGTGGACTCTCTCGAACAGTCGCAACCTTTGCTGATCAGACTGATTCCAGGAACTTGGTTGGTGCCGATATGGGCTGCGCATGCGCTGTAGACTTTTTGAGTAATCTGCGCCGCGAAATGCAGCGCCACCTAGTGGACGCTCCTGGCCTGTGTCCTGCCTTAGCCGCCTCTTCTAGTACAACGTGTTTTGGACTACGTTGAAGTATACGTCCCGGAAACGTAGACAGCGAAACGGCGAAAGAGCGATTCTCACTTTTTAGGTTAGGTTTATAGAGCAACGTTCCTTTCCACGTTTCTGTTACGTCGCCAGTGAGAGGTTTTCGGAGCACCCCTGTTCTTCAACGTTGATTACTACGTAGAAATTGTAAACGTTCCCGGAATGTTTCAAGGTCTACGTTGATTTCCACGTTGCTGAAACGTTCCATGTTATCTGGGTACTAACTTTTTTCTTCTTTATCCCGTAGCTTTATGTGCCGGAGGATGTAAAGTAATGTGCTGTTTTCATTTTTTGGTTTTGTTTGTTTATCTCTCATTCTTACCCACTGTCCAAACGTGGCCACAAAACTTAGACACGTCCTATTTAAAGTAGGTAGGTAAACAACGCCCCTTCATAACGTCGGGTTCATACAACTACTCGTGCTTGTTGGATGTCCTTGTGGTATCTGCACAATTGAAGGGTCTATGTTGTGATGTAGATTCCAACCAACAAATTTCATCCTAGATATTTTACACATGCTGATCACAGTTGAACTTTCAAATAATAAAAACCAAAATTACCAAAGGGAGGAGAGTTACAAAAGATAACTACGACGTGAGAACGTTGAATGTAAATAATTTTCTTGAACAAAGAAAATACCATCATTAATTTGAGAGGACAGAGAAAATATGTACATCATTATTTGGGTTAACATCTCCCTGATTGGATGAAGGATGAATATTTTAGTATTTTTGTTTCAAAAAACTTAACTTTTGTCTTCAGAGATACAATGATTCTAGTCAAAGTAAATTTGTTTAATTATAAACCAAAAACAAAAAAAAACCAAGAACAAAAAAAACAAGCAGTGAACTCCAACACAATGTGTTGATGAGGCGCGTCATTAACTCGCACATATCAACCCCTTTAGTTTTCATATGCAGAGATTTCAAAATAGGCAAGCAGCACAACAGGAGAATTCACGATCCAACACTGCGAGGTCAACGACGCACCTTGACGAGACCGTGTAATGTGAATGTAGAAAGCCATCCGAACAAATTTCAGTTTTTTGATCTGCCTCAACCAAAATCTTATCAGATTCTTGAAGAAAAGTGCTGCGGAATAATTTAAGCGAACAAAGGAAACATTTTTTCGAACTCCTTAAAGATACCTAAAGTCGATTTAATGGTATTTTGGGGCTAAAATACCCAAAACAGGTAGTATAAATCCCGTTATATTGAAAAGAAATTGACTCGATATAAATGCAACTGCATTACATATGTCTTGATTTTGTTATTTTAAACGTCTTTTCATGCAAAGAAGTTCAACCGTAGCCATTCTTTATTTATTCGTGAATTAAAAGTAAGCGCACTGAAAAAATGGTATGCTGTTTTAGCATCTAGGATGTCAAAAATGTGTCTACTGATCCAAAGATGTTGCCTTTACTGCCTTCGCAGTTAACCTTACATCCTGTGGATGCAAATTCAACTGCGTAGGCAAGCAAGACAGCATCCTAGGATCACCAGACACCATTTTGACATCCCCAGTGTAAGAAATGTATGTGCTTTGGACATACTCATAGATACTGCGAGAAAGATCCGCGATGCCTGAAGTGCGCAGGGCCTCACGATACCTCCGAGTGTACGAAGAGTATCGAAGTGCCTCCCACCTGTGCGTTGTGCGGGGAACATCATACGGCCAACTGGAGAGGCTGTAAGGTTTATCGTGAGATCCGAAAACGCAAGTTTGAGGATCTTCGAAAAACAAAAGCAGCCGAACCGGTGACCAGTGTGGCAACCCCGCGCAGCGCACCGGCTGGGACGCGCTCGTACGCTTCGGCCACGAAGGGGGGGTCGGGGGG